CTTTCCAAGATTTTCCCTCTGGTTTTATTTCGCGTATTAAGTCGAAACGTTATATACATGTATGTATAATTTAGAGAGATTTACGTTATTTCCTCGTCTGGACGCGATTAGAAATAATCTGATATCAACCTGATTTTGTTAAGAGTCGAGAGAGTCTCTCTTCTCACTTTTTATTTCGCTATTTTCCTTTCTCTTTTATCGATGTAGATACTTTCTTTTTTATTAATAAATTATATTAGCTTAATATATAAATTATATATACAGCGTTTGCTATTACTTAAATAAAATTACATAGATGATTATCTATTGTAGATAAAATTATATGGCGTCATCTTAGCTTTATATAGATAAGAAAAATTTATATTATCGATATATGCATCTTAGATAAAAAATATTATCTTTACTAAATTATTTAGAATAATGTTCAGATAATCCTTGGTTTCGAGTTATAGCACATAAAAATATTTAAGTAGTAGAACTTAAGAAGTAAACGATAAAAACTTATAAATAGAAATATAAATATATATTATATGAATAATTTTATATTCCTTTTATAATTTACATTTTTCTTATAACTGTGTTTACATATATTGTCTAAAAGTTATCTAGATGAGTCGTTATATAATTTTATCTTTTATTTAGATATATTTAAGATGAATATTTCCATCTCCTCTTTATCTAATTATTTTTAAAATCATCTAAGCACAACACTGATTATACAAGGTGTATCTAAATAAGCGCGAAAAGTTTTAGGGGATGATTCTTTGTCAGAAATTAAGAGGGGAGAATCTCTTATACAATAAACATATACTTTTACATCTCTCCCTGAGAAGTTGCACTTTTCTAAAGAAGCGGGAGGTAAAAAGTAGTAGTAAAATTTTAATTAAAAAAATATTAATAAATATCCTTTTTATTACTGGAAAATGTCCACACCAAGTTTCATTTTTTGAATTTGTCTGCAAATTGAGAAAAAAATAAAAGTATATAAGAAACTTTCCTTAATTTTCTCCAAAGAATTATCTCCTAAAATTGTTCGCACTTATTTCGATACACCCTGTATATATAAAATGTACATATATAAAATGATGATGACGATTGTTATCTAATATGTGGAGTATTACGCGAGATTCTGTCACCGGTCGAATCTTGGGATATGCAATTCCTGCATTTCCGGGAAAACGGCGGGACGGAATGCCGATGCGTTGCACACGCTGGCTCTTTGTTTCCAGTCGCGTTGTGCCGTTAAGCGGCTCGCCGAAGAAACACCTGACGTCGTCAGGCGGTCGCCAGCCATCCAGCCAGCCAGCCAACCAACCAGGCGGGTAGGCAGGCAGGCAGGCAGACGTAAGTACATACCTGTGGCAGGTGAATCGAGTCAGGTGCTCCAACAGATGGGCGCCTTTACTCGAGAAAGCGTTATAAAAGCGGTCTATCATAAATGTGGGTTACTAGCTATGACTAACGCCCGACGAGCTTGCGCTCTCGCGCACGTATCCATCATTTACCAATTATTTTCATTCAATTATGTAAGTACGCTTGTCGCCTATAGGAAAGACTCGATTAATATTCAACAGCTCTTTAAGCGTATAGGCATAGTGAAAACAAAATTCTTAACATGACTAAACCTTTCAGCTAAATTACTATTTTGTCAAATCAACATATATTAGTATTTCAGTCAAATATACGTTTTGTTAGATTTAATATGTTATTTTTAATTGAAATATTTTTATACGTTCGATATTAACAAAATAATATTTAGTTGAAAGATTTAGTCGAGTTAACAAAATTTTTTTTCAGTTTATATATATCGATTTGTCCATTTCTTCGAAGACTTGTTATAAACAATTAATGGAAAAATCGAAAGAAGATTAATAATAAATGTATAGAGACAGAAGAATTTTATGAATTTGAGAATTATTATATCATATATTACATATACATTTGTCCATGTATATTATAAATCGATCTTTAGCTGCGATATATTATATTTCGATTATGTCGAAGAGAGCTTATACTTATTGTTAGCTTCTTCGAAGACTTCATTAATGGAAAAAATTGAAAGAAGATTAATAATAAATATGTAGACATTAGAAGAATTTTATGAGTTTCTCTGATTAATATTAACCAAAATAGAAAATATGAATAATCCACCACAAAAAGATATTTACTACGTAGATAATATTTTTTATCGTGATAAATATTTAATTTGAAAATTCTCTCTGTCTATCATAATATAATCACATGACATAAATTTGTCAATGTATATTATAAATCGATCTTTAGCTGCGCGATATTATTACATTTCGATTACGTCGAAGAGAGCTTGTACATATATTGTTAGCGATCGAACCTATCGAAGGCTAAGGAGAGGCCAAATACTTTGTTTACCGATTTGAGAAACAGGAATCTTACAGTACGCGAAGCGAAAAGCGAAAACTTTCCAGGCGTCCTTCGACGACTGGTGCTCCCGTCACGATGTTCGCGTCACGAATAAGAGAAGGAGCCGTAATAATGAGCGTGTCGCGGGTGTCTTTTCTCTCCTTTCTCGCTTTTTGTTTCACGGACACGTGGCGAGCGAATCGCGGCATGTATGCATGCATGCATGCATGCATGCACCAGCAACGCGAGCACCTTCGCGCATATATATATATATATATATATATATATATATATATATATATATATATATATGTATATATATATATATATATATATATATGTATATGTATATATAAATATATGTATGTATAAATATATGTATGTATGCGTTGTTATTTACATACGTGCGAGCGTATGTGCGGTCACGTGTAAGAATGGGATAGCGAAAACGTGACGCGATTATGCATTCTCGCTACGTCGTCATCTCCTGCTTGGTGCAAGCACGAGCTATGTCGTGCGTAGTCCGAGGTAGCGGTCTGCCGCGCGCATTTTATGCTAATTTTATTAAACGTTTCCTCTATTTAAAGAAGGCGGACGCGCATAATCGCGGATACCTGACGCTCGCCGAGCGACAACCTGCCTCTTATCATCGCCGATTGTCGATTGTGTTATGCTCGAACGATGGGAAACGCGGGAAATAATAGATATTTCGCGGTTTATCATCGTCGAATCATTTATGTCAATTTGCCCGCATTCAATTATTCCTTTATATATTTGAAGGGGAATTTAATTAAAGACCCGACGAAAATATTTATAATTTTATAAAAATTATTTTCTTGAATATATATTACATATTTATATATAATTATATATCTTTGATATATATTTTTTGAGAATAATATATTTACTCACAATTATAAATAATTATAAACAAGTTGTAAATAATTTCAAATTCATGAGATAGATATAGCTAGTATCGGAAGAATCGATGGACGATGAATTAATGTAAATTTAAGTGGTGAAAAACTTTCTCGACGTATGCATAGATAGAAGAGGAATAAAATTTAATTAATCGGAATCGGAGGATAATTTTTACGATCGATTTATCGCGATGGCTACTGGTTAACACGCAAGCAGTGCGTATACATATATAAAGTGCAACGAATTGATACCTTCGAGAACGAATGTCCTCGTGTACAAGCGGAACGGCTGAAAGGCACAGCTGCCAGCACTTCGTCCACGTCTGATTAGACGAAAGTAAAATATGTTTCCAGGTAAGATGTTATCGTTCCAAATCATAGCCGTTTCGTTTTGTTCCGTTTGTGCCTTTTGCATCGCGCGATGATCCAGCTGTTCCGAAAAATCGAACTTCAGACGTATATTTTGAGAAATTCACATTTCGACGTCAAAAGCAATTTTTTTAAATTATTATTTTTCCGTATGCGATTATTTTTTCCCGATAAATATCGAGACGTTAATTATCGAATTTCAGTATTTTTTATAACCAAGATCAATTACAGGCATAATAATAAACGAAAACAAAAGAGGTAATTATATATCTTTCTCGTTATAACAAGGTTCATAAACAAATGCCGTGTATTCATGCATTTCGTAATGTATGCTTTGCATAATCTAACTAACGCATACTTTTCGCATTACATGAGAAATTCAATTATGTTTCTTTAATGCAAGGTTATTTCGTGCGCAACAAACAATTGTGAGATGCGAAAAAGTACTATGAGATGAATTCTTATATCAATCCCCATGTTTCTTTTTTTAATGAGGTTCTTACAATGTAATATTGTACACGATCCCGCTACTTTTCATTTATAACGCAAAGTAAATCGAAATAAAAATACCTCTAGTTTTTGTCGCTATTTCATTGCGCTATTGCATAAAAACTGACTGTAGTTAAATTTCATTTAAGTATACGACAGAGTAATAATTACGGACAGATGATTTTTTCATTTTAATTGACAATTTAATACTAGTAAAGATTAAATATTTAAATAATAATTAATTAGATACAGCTTGTACAAATTGAAAATAGAATAAGAATAATAATGTTAAACTTTTTTTATAGACGAGCAAATAAACGTTGTTTAAATTAAAAATTAAAACAATTTATTTGTAGTTTTTACAGACGTTTCGAACATTACTTAGGTATATATTTTCAATCATGAATAGTTTACCACACAATTAAGAAATCACACACAAAACTATATCCTGTCAACGCTTATATAACTCAAATGATCCATATGTAACGAAACGTTTGTAAAAACTATAAATAAATTGCTTTGTTCATTTGCTCGTCTATAAAACTGACATTATTATTTCGATTCTAAATATTTAAATATATAACTCAAATGATCCATATGTAACGAAACGTTTGTAAAAACTATAAATAAACAACGTTCATTTGCTCGTCTATAAAAAGAACCTGACATTATTATTTCGATTCTAAATATTTAAACTTTATGGAAATAATAAGAGAATAATTTAAATTTCTATTTAACGAGAGAGATCCAGCTGTACTCTTTCGCGATGTTGTCGCTCGTTAACGTTGGCAAATGCATATCGCGTGCCAGCTTAGAATGGTATCAATTTAATTCTCCAACGACATGATAATTCTCCAAGTATACGTATTACATATATACATATATCGCATATGTATATCGCAGTCTGTGCGTTTCTGCGAGCAGTCGGGAACTCTGGTTCGAATGCACGAAGGAAGAGAGATTGTAGCTTCGAGTCTCCCTCCGCACGGTTTCTTCGCCATTCGTCCTCAGCGACCGCGACGAAAAGGAAGAATTCAAGGTCAGCGTGTTCTTCTTGCACCGCTTGCAACCCGCTTGCACTCGCTCCACCTCGCATTATGCATGTACGCGAGTCTTAGCCGAGGTAAGACCTATCTTATTACGCATATTATTACCGGTGCCCGCTCTTTTTGTAACGCGAGAGAAACGCATTGTGTGCGTCTCTCGGCCTGGGAATTTAAATGCTTCAACTATTTCCTGTCCACTACGTCTTCGCGTCTTTTGTACGAAGAGTTCCCGGATAAAGGCGAACTCTCTCTCTCTTCTCTCCAAGTATATATATATATGTATGTAGTTGGTATAAGGAAGTTTCCAAGGTCGTATATCTGTTTGAATATTTAAGAACACAGTTTGTGCGAGAAGGCGATATGGCCGGCGCGATTTTACAAGTCTATGGCAATAAAATATGAACACTTATATACTGATGTTAGAGGTCAGATCATCGTGGGAAATATATATATATATATATATGCGAATGTGTTCTCGTGTAAAATTTACGAGCGATATATTTGCCCGGTTATGAACCCCCCTTTCGTCGAAATAAAATCTGGATTCGATCTATAAAGAGGCGAAATGAATCGTAATAGCCACGTGCAGTGTTTGCTGTTATCTGAATAAAATTATACAGATGAGCATCTAGTCATATAATTTTATTTATTTTAAAAATGTTTTATTTTTTCAGATAATTTGGTTTAGAGTTAGCACATAAAAACACTTAATTAATAAAACTTAAGCAGTAAGCGACAAAAATTTATTGATAAAAGTATGAATATATATTTAGATCCCTTTTATAATTTTCATCTTTTTGTAACTGTGTTTACACGAACGGTCTTAAAAATAATATAAAAATAATATCTGAAAGTTATCTAGGTGAATCGCTATATAATTTTATCTCTTTTATCTAGATATATTTAAAATAAAATTATCCTCATCTTATATAAGATGCATTTACATATTTTCATCTCAGCTTCGTCTAAGCGCAACACTAATTATACACAGGGTGCATATCTAAATAAGTACGAAACATCTTAGGGGATAATTCTTTGTCGAAAATTAAGGGAGGTTTCTTATACAATAAAGGGAGTTAAAAATTAAGTTTTTATTTTTTTCTCAAATTTTAGAAAAATTAAAAAAAAAATGAAACGGAAAATATCCATCAAATTTCATTTACGCAGCTAATTTAAAAATCACCCAAGCACAACACTATGGCCACGTGAGAATAAGCTTTTCTAGAGGACGAATTTCAACTACCTAATAATAATTAATGGCATATATTTAAAATAAAATTATCCTCATCTTATATAAGATGCATTTACATATTTTCATCTCAGCTTCGTCTAATAAGCGCAACACTAATTATACAGGGTGCATATCTAAATAAGTACGAAACATCTTAGGGGATAATTCTTTGTCGAAAATTAAGGGAGGTTTCTTATACAATAAAGGGAGTTAAAAATTAAGTTTTTATTTTTTTCTCAAATTTTAGAAAAATTGAAAAAAAAAATGAAACGGAAAATATCCATCAAATTTCATTTACGCAGCTAATTTAAAAATCACCCAAGCACAACACTATGGCCACGTGAGAATAAGCTTTTCTAGAGGACGAATTTCAACTACGTAATAATAATTAATGGCATAAATAAGAACACATTCGCGGACGATTGTGCAAGCGTGAAAAGTTATTTGCCAATGCGGCGATACAGTATCGCGCTAGAGTACTACGGTGTGTTATAATACGGTGACACATCATCGTATTATAACACCGCCAGCGGTTTTATCGTCGAGAAGCGCGATACGAGAGGCGACGATGAATACTCGGTGCACGAAATCGCGAAAGCGCTTCTGCGCTACGCGATAAATATTTATATCATTGCGGAACGCGGTTCGTTTTATCTCTCGCTTCTTACGGAGAGATATACGCGGCCTCGTCAATTTATAAACGGTTCTCGTATGTATGTAAGATACACTTTGCAAGATATACGTAAAATATCCAGACCCTCCGCGATGCGCTTATTGATTTATCTAATATTGATTTTTATTTGCTTCTAGATCGTCGAAAAAGATTCTTGTCGAATTTAATTACCGATATTTAAATCCGCGATATTGATGAAAAAATGATGAATTTTAATTTTATGATAAATATATAAGCGTATTTATCTTTGTAAGCTATAAATTAATTGACGAGGCTAGTTTATATCGCACGCTTCGAAAAATAAAAATATGTATTTATATATACAAATCAGCAAGAATTTCTAATCAAATTTTTCCGACGTTACGCAACTCGCGCGGATTATAAAAACGCGAGCGTATCAATTTCAAGACGCGAAATCCCAACTGGAGTCAGCATTTCCTTATAAAAAAAAATTCAACGAGTTTTATAAATTTTCAAAGCGACGCAAAACAATATTTCATCATCACGGTCCAAAACGGTATATATATATATATAAGCTCTCATCGCGTACACCGTAATTTTTTTTTCGGGCGAGAATTTTGTCATATAGCAGAAATAGAATTTCCAAGTTTAAATCTCGGATTATAATGTACCTGTCGCGAGCGATAGTATAATTTCGGAGCGCGACGAGAGAAAAATGCGGAGCTCCGCTTCCAACCAGGTGGAACATTTCTGTTCCGGTGCATCGCACATCGGCAAATTCCGTATACGCATATGCATGTACATATAAATATATTATATGTATGCATTCGGTGGCGAGACGCGTATACGCGTGCGAAACTTTTCTATCGATCGGCGAGCGCCTGCCTATCCCCGGCGGGATGCGTGGAAAGGGATCACGTTGTCCTCGCGTGTCGATACCGATAACACCCTCGGTCCTCGTCGTCGCCTCGCGTCGTAGCCGGTGCGCGATAAGGCGCTTATCGCCGCTGCAGCTCTGTACCGAGATACGGGAGTCTATAAGGATCGGCCCCGAATATAAAGACGAAGATCTCGGCATGCATACGATGTGTGCAGCCTTCCGCCTTAAAAGCAGCTGTTTTACGGATATATCGACGTCTCTTCATTTTATTCATTCAATATATTTCATTTTTTTCTCACTTCGTTATAAATATTGTAAATTATTTTATATAAAATATTATGTTATAATTATAAATTCAAAGTTTGAAAGTTTCGCGGATATCGACGCCTCTTAATTATTGATAAGATGTTTCATTTTTCTCACCCACTCGTTATGAATATTATATAAATTATATATTAATATAATATATAATACACCGAGAGAATTTTCTCTTAGAATTTATCCTGAAAATCATGATCGTGGAACAATATAGTATTGGAAGAATTTTATAAGAGTTTGTCTGTGATTAATATTTACCACAATAAAAAATATTAATATCTTACATAATAAAATTAATCGAAACATGTTTTTTATCTTATTGTGGATATTAATTTTTTTAATAAGAGAGAAACTCTTATAAAATTCTTCCAATACCATATGAGTCCTATGATTACTATAATTTTTAGAGTAAATTCTAAAAGAAAATTCTCTTTGTGTTTCAATAATTATATTATAAATTAAATAATATAGCCAATTTATGATTATGAATGTTCCTTTCTTAGGACAGGCTGTTTGAAAATTTGACAGATATCGACGTCTCTTAATCATTGATAAAATAATTTTATTCTTTTCTCCTTTCATTATGAACGTAATAATGACGTAACCAACTTATAATTGTAAATGTTCCAAAAATTAGATAATAGATAAATTATACAGTTACATGTGAATTTATTATCTATATATCAGACACATGTTACATATATGACTTATGACTCTTCTTAGAGTCGTCTTTGCGAGAATCTAATTTTGCACGAGGGAAATTACTGTCGTCGAAGCGAGTAATTTTTAAATACACTTATCACCGCGCGTAGATCGATCGTCCGCGACGAATGAAAGGGACTAATGAAATTATGTGCATACACACACGCGGTTCTTCTCGCCGCGTGTATGTCGCGCGGCCGTAATTGCGGAATATTCTGTAATTCGTCGGATTGGTGGGGAAAAGGCGCTTTTTTCCGAGAGCATCCCGACACCGCTCGACGGATGCCGGTCACGTAAATCCCGTAGTTCCGAAAGGAATCCTGAGAGAGAGAGCACGCTGCGGAATACTAGAATACCTACTCCGTATAGCGGCAGAGAATGCGCGGCGCGTATCCGCAGCACGCGAGCGGATAACCGTGCTCGGATGCGCGCGATCGAAAGTACGAGGTGCAGGCGACGACGGGTTCGGAATTTTCGGGACGAATATGCGTCTTCGCCGAGAAATGCAATGTTGTGTTTATTGTTAGATGATTTTCAGGGTTGGGTAAGTTCATGATTTTTCTCAACTAAGTTAAGTTGAAGTTAGTTGCTTGTGAAATTCATTTAGTTTAGTTAAAAGTTGTATGAACAAAAAATTAATTTAGTTCAAGTTAAGTTGAGATTAAATTAACTGAAGTTAAATCAAAAGTCAATTTTTAAAAACATTATTTATATTCAATTAGAATTTTGTTCGTTCATTCTTTTAAAATTTATAAAGACAAAGAAAGAAATTTTGATTTTTATATAGAAGTATATTTTTTGCTAATTACAATTGGTGGCAAATGAACATAAAAATTAATAATATACCTTAATTTAAAAATAATATTTTCAACTTATAACTTTATTTATAACTTATAAAAAACAATAATGGTATTTAGAGATTAAAAATTTAACTTAAGAAAAAAGTTAATAAGTTTAAGCTCAAAAGTAACTAGTTAAAGTTAAAACTTAATTATATATTTTAAATTAACTAAGCTAAGTTAAAAGTTATTAACTTTTTAACTTCTTTAAACTTTTAACTAATTAATTAGTTACTATCCAACCCTGATAATTTTAAAATTAGTTAGATAAAGATGGGATAAAAATATGTAAATTTATCTTACATAAGATAAAGATGATTTTGATTTAAATATATATCTAAGGTAAAAGAAACAATTATATGGCAATTCATCTAGATAACTTCCAAATATTATTTTTAAGACTACTTATGTAAATACAGTTATTAGAAAATGTTAATTATAAAAGGGATATAAAAATATATGTATTTATAAAT